TGTACCAAGTTTCATTGAAATGTGATGATTAGTACTTGAGATATCAGTGGAAAAACCGAAAATTGACTAATCATTATGCAAATTAGGTAATTAGTATCCACGGATTATTACCAAAAACTAATCAAAACCTAGCATTAGTTCAGAGCATCTATGTACCAAGTTTCATCAAAATCCAATGAGTGGTTGTTTAGACATCAGTGGAACAGTCATGGAACCACTAAAAAATAACTAATTATCATGCAAATTAGGTAATTAACGAGCATGGATTTTTACCAAAACCTAATCAAATCTGCGCATTGGCCCAGAGCATCTATGCACCAAGTTTCATCAAAAACCGATGTATGGTTCTTGAGATAGCAGTGGAACAGTCGGACACACATATACACACACACACACACACACACACACACACACACCCAGACACACTAACTGCAAAGACTCCCTTTTTGTGCTTCACACATGGGAGTCAAAAATAATGATCATATGCATAGTAATCTTCATATTTATAACTGTTTATTAGATCTTAATTTCACAATTACAACCATGTGCTTCCATATAAACACATGGAGTGAAACTCCAATGTATCAATCAGCATATTCATAAACCATACCTTTGTGGTGATCACATAAAAATTCGATCTCCCATCAAATCCATTTTACCACAAAACTGATCATCAATTTCAAAAAATATCATTAAAACATCTCTTGCTGATGTAATTTATCCCATTAATTTCAGCTACCAGTGGAAGCTATCAGAAGGCAGTATGACACAACCAGAAGGCCTATGAACTCCAAGGAACTGTAAAATTGAAATCTTCACTCCTAGTATCTTGGTACTTTAACATGTTCACCCCTAAAATACAAGAATTACGAAGAATAATCATTAAAAATTGCATTCAGAATCTGAAATTTATGAAGTACCTTCCATGTAAATTAACTGCTGAATATAAATTGAAGCAGTCCTCTTAAAAATAGAATATTACTCAATAGTAAAAGTATGTCATATATGTGAGATGTGTAAAAAAATAAATAAAAATATGAGGTTACTGGATTAACTTTGGTGAAAATCTAAGTACAAATTAGAGTGAAAATAGCACGTTTTGAGACATTTTACCATTGTTTTGTATGAAATATCTAAAAATTTTGGTCAGTTATCATTTAGTCCAAACAAATTATTTACAGTCTCTCAGATGTACAAAGTATTTGTTCATGATTAAACAAATGAATAAACAAATTGCAATTATTTTAGTGGGCTTTTAATGAAAAATTCATTGAATTCTATGGAAACCACTGTTAAATTGCTATTTTATGCTTATTTGACAGTTGTTTATAAAAACAAACCATACTGAAACTAAAATTTATACAGTATATTGAGTAAAAGTCACAGAGTATCAATAATATTATTATCCATCAACTTTCACCTAAGTCACCAACAAGATGTTTTTTTTATGTAACTGAGCCCAAACAAATTAAATGGATTTTTTAGTATTAATTTGGCACAAAGAATTACATCAGACCAAACATTCAGATTGGCACCTATAAACATTCTATTAGTGACCATATATATTATTGCACTTACTATACATCAATTACTCTCTAAGGCCTAATGATATGGAGAGTCATTGTAAATGAATTACATTAAGAAGGACATCATCAGATTTGTCGTTAAAAAACACACAAACAATTACTGTAAAAGGGGTAATTATTCACTGGGTTTTAATTATAGCTTATTTCGCTGACTGGAAAAATGCGCTAAATTAAAACACAGTGAATATGTAAAATTTAGCATAGAACACATTATCTAAATGACGAAACCGTGAATTTAAACCCACTGAATATGCCTGAAATGGTAAATCAGTGAAATTTAAACCCAGTGAAAATTAGTCATTTTACAGTACTGTAATAAATGTTTAATACAAAAAACAAAAGAATCATATATATGTGATGTACACCTGTAGGATACAAGATGATGTTCTTTTTGTGGGTTATCAATGACTTAGATGACATCACATCTACAAAAACAGACCCCCCACCTTGATTGTTATTGTTTACCTGTTGTACAATGGAATAAAATAATGTTAACTAAATGGAATAAGTGAAACTTACTTTAATTCACTGGCTTTTCGTTTTGCAATAATCTAGAAAAGAGAATAATGATAAATTTAAAGATCATATTCACCTTTTCACAATCCCACATTGGATACTATTGCTAGTCTATCATATGCAATGTCATCACACTGTTTTAATACATTTTGCAGTGTTTTTGACTTTTGCCAAATTATATAAAATGATGGACAAGTATATTTAATCAAAGATGCACATATTAAGTATTGAAATCTGTCTTAATATTCACTAGCAGCTGATAAGAACAACATGCTGCTTGTTGGAGCTTTGAGATGAACTGCGGCCATGCTATGGATCAGAATGATGTCTCAATGACGCATACAAAATTGTGTGGTACAGTGAATTTATACCTTCGATTAAAAATTATGCTAAGATCAAATATACTGATTTTATATCAGAAAAAAAATGCACAATGTGTACACAAATATATTTTGTATATGTATGCTAAATGATTTTAGCACAAAATAAAAAGTAGACTTCATTTCAACAATTTATCAGTATATGAAAACCACATGTCATTAATTAATTTGCATAACAATAAAGTGTGTTAGTCTATCGTGTTTATTGTTATGATAATTATGTGTATTGTGTATTCAACAAATTATAAGTCTGGCTTCAAAACAATGGAACATGATTGCATGTTTAGTGTTTTACATTTTTCTCTACTTGGGACAATTTCATTCAATTTATTCCAAACAATCAAACATGTTCTTACTTATTTCCAATTTACAGATGTGTTGTCAAACTGCTGCTTCACACATTTTTGTTCACAAGTTAATTTATCAATCGCATGAAAACTGGTATGGATTATCAATTGGATTTTGACTTATGATCTTTGATTTGTGTGTGAATAACTTTACTGAACCAATGAAAAGCAAGTGTAATTAAAATATAGATGAAACTCACATTGCTGATCTTTTGCCACTCCCTGTTCAATTCTGCTTTTTCATTCTTCTCACCAAACCCTGCTCTTCTAGTTTTACGGCCCTCTGACATCTTAACTCCAAACTGGAAAGCAGCTCTGAATATGAGTATACATGTATAATATATAATATGTAATAAATAATAGAGATAAATGGGAATGCAAATTTTATTCAAATTATTTTATTTTCTGAACATCACCTGGTCTTCATTATTCAACTGTTGTTTCGATCAAGAGATATTCAAGGCTGCTTGGGTCAAATTCAAAGTGTTCACTACTGAGTACGTTACTGCCCATGTATGCAGTGCATTATGGGAGAGAATGGGTACACTATTATCTCCCTAGAAACTCTTTAAATTGTATTTCAATTTGTTAAAAATGCTAGATAATATTAGGACTCGTGTCCATAATAATATCATGACTTTTTATACCATGTCACCGTGCCAAATTTTGAGATATAACAAAATAATTTCACCAGAGAAACCAGTGCAAAAATGCCAGTTTAATTAATTTCTTTGACATTATTGTATTGTATGGATTATTGTATTTCAAAAATGTTATTGTTTTCATTTTTAGTATCCTGGTGGCATAAACCCACAACAATGAAAGTATGATAAACATGGCATATAGTCTTCAATGCAGCCCAAACGTCCTTAATTTTACTATAAATTCTAGATTATTCTGTATGGTTGCCATAGTTACTTACTTTGGCAGTGCCTCCTTATTATTCATGTAATCACTGTACTCTTCTTGTGTATCAAAATCCCATCGTCCAACAGGACCCTTCTTATTACCCTGTGAATCAAGTAAAACCATTCTCAGTGTCAATAGAATTTGGTGATGATCACATAACTTCTAGGGTCAACACATACAAAATGCACCTTACTGAAAGCCCATATTAAAAGTAGAGTTGTTTTACTTTCAACTTACAAACAAACAATTATAACCTAAATATGCATGACCTTTATTATGTCTGGAGGACGTAATACGGAATAGACTAGTATATACTGACAGGTACACTAGACTATGATTTTTCATGAACTGAAAACGCTGTTTATGTAGCACATGACAGTATTCCTTTGATGTAACTATGAAATTCCTTGATACGCATTTACAGTGGTTATTTTGGTATGTACAATACTGCTTGTGCGTATTAGTGGTTTTGATTTCTCATCTAATGAATAGTGTTAGGTGTTCTGAAAATAAGATGTTTTTAGTTTACATTGTATTTTAAATAATAAGTCTGATTTAGTCTACAGTATAAAAGTGTTGAAACACAATAATACTAAATACATGTTTTCATCCATATTGCATCTTTAATAATAGCATCAGCTATATTTGAGTGACATGAATGTCAAGGTATTTTACAACAATGCATGGACACATATAAAATGTGCTCGTAGTCGTACTGGTATTCAAGATTCTTTATTGGTAGCAGATAAACTATTTCCATGAATAAAACAATGACTTACTAAATCCATTTTACTGTAGTCTGGTTCATCATCACTGTCATATGTAGCATCTTCTGTTTCAATAGCTCTGTCAATACAAACACAATATCAAGTCATTGTTAAGTTAAACTGAAACAAGTCATATTGTGAATGACATCATCCTTGCTAGTGTTCATCATGTGTAGTCCCTGTGGTATCATCACAATTCGTATGACATATCAAAGTTGCCAAATTACAGAAGGCAGGGTTAAACACTATGGGGGTAGTTTTATAGTACATATGTGTATGGACAAGTAAAATTGGCATTCAAACAACTAAATACTGTTAAACCATTTATTTTCACTGGCATTTAGTTTGACAATTTTGATGCTTGAAGCCATGACTTGAAAGCAACAGTTACAGCAGTGTATGTGAGTTATGCATGTTAAGACCTAACCGATTTTTTTTTTTATTTGGAATACCTAAAATACTGACATGCATGGTGTATCCTGCTTTGCAAGACGCTGAACACAACTAGCCTAGGAAGTCTGAAATGTTCCATGTTCGCTTGGACAAAGTGGCAATAAATGCTATGAAATCTCATAACAAAACAAATGTTTAAACAAATCCCTCAACTTTCTTTCTTCTCGACAAACTTGGATTAATGATAGGCCACATTAAACAGCCGCCAGTTTCGTGTACAATTCAGTGGACTTGTTGATGCCCTCAGCTGCTGAAAATTGTATCATAGCCGAGTCTACATAAATGCTTGGTGATGTACGGCTGTTTGCAAACACTTTGTGACCCAGATATCTTGTGAATACTGTAATTGTTGCATTTGGTATATGGCACATACATAATCAGATTTGACAAACAAAATATATCTGGTAATGCAGCTTTAAAAGAGTATTGTCTTACCCTGGGTAACATTCAGCATAACTATCTGGCACAAACATATCTTTATCTCGTCTCTTGCCCTGCTTACCACGTGATTCATCTCGCCTGTACCCAGAACCATGCCTAAAAGTGGATTTTGGTTTTGTCATATATCGCTTGATGAGCATGAAAGAATGTTTGGACAACTCGTAACCAAAACATAATTATGTTCCACAACAATTCTGGTCACATAAAATATGACATCATAAAGTTGTATTTTAAGTTAACAATAAATTTTACATGCGTTGCATACTAACCAACACAAATTGGTATGACAACTGCTGATTTAGGTAATCAGACTTGTTAAACTACAACACAGACAAGGTGAACACTGTCCAGTACACAAGTTAATGAGAACCTACCCTCGATCTTTATCCTCCTTACTTGATGGTTTTTGATTGCCTTTCCCAGCTTCTTGTTCTAATGTACCAAAAAGTTAAGGAACCAACAAAGCAGCTTTTCTTACTTTGTCCCAAGTGATAGGACATACTAGTATATACACTATGGACTGATAAAAGATAAACACACATAATATGCTTATATGCTCATGCTCATTAAAGAGGGTCGATTCGAAAGGCTTTTTACATGCACATATTCAATTGTTTTCTATTGTTAAATGTAATAATAGTAAAGTGCATGGTTCCTTCACAATTCATTGAATGTAATAAATACTGAATATCTTAGAAACATGGAATCTGCTAATAAACCCAGTGAATATTTCTCCTGATATATACAGCATTACATATATGTAAATGCACAAAAAACTGAAAGGATATTTGAGATCCGCAGGAGCCCATCCAGCAGCTAAACGGGCATCAGTTTCTTTAGACTATTGGAAGAAAAATAATATTATTTGTACGATTAATGGACAATATGGTATTCAGTTTTTCTGTGACGTATACACAGTTAACATTTAGACAACAAACAAATGTTATTTTATGGGATGCACTGCTAAATGCAATACGTGGCAGTAAACAGGACATGTATCGAGCTGATATACGTGATGTAATGAAATAGTTATTATAAATATCATTATTGCGAATGATAATGGTAAATATGTTTAAAATCTGCAGAATGAAATGCCTATTCTTCTACAATAAGAACCTTATCCTTTTTCTACACTTTCATATAAGTATTGACGTCATAAATAACTCTCTCTTACCTTCCCAAATCTGTCATGAATATCTTTCACAAAATCTTTCGTAGATTTACCATGTCTGTCATCTTCATGCTAAAAAACACACAAATAATATGCATGTTATTCGGTAGTCCTCTCGCTGACCATGATGTGTTCCACCTATGTTACACAGCGCATAAATATTCTAAAATATATTCATCCTGCTTTGACAATTCCAAATAAACGCATACGTGATAAAAGTCATAATTTTTATGTATTCATCAGTGATGTGGATTTTTAACCCTTGCATGTTTGTAAAATGCTAATGTTAACAGGTTAATGTTAACATCAGCTAGATATATACAGTGTATGTAATTAAATATTTGCTGGAAACTCAACATACCTCTTCATCTTTGGGCTTTTCAAAATAACTTTTTGTCTTTTTATAATCTCTGTCCCTATCTCGACCTTTCTCCCTTGAGGAACCAGGCTTCACTGTGGGCATGTAGTCACCGATGTCACCGAATATACTGAAAAGTAAAACTACCTTGTATGAAGTATTCCTTTCAAAAGTTAACAAGCTACAACATAACTATAGTTAGAGATTGCATACAATAAAAAGTTTTGAGGTCACATATCACAAAGCATGAATTCCAGGTGACTATTTTACGTCAATTTTATCAGCCTCATCGCTGAGTTATTTTTAGCATCGCTGTAAATTCAGAAAGAAAAGTTGACATATAATTGAGTTTGGTTAAAATTAATAAATAGAACAAAATGTCTAAGTTTATTACGTTATAATTCGCCCATTTTGAACAGATAACCCAACCATGTTACAAATAAAAATTTTCTAGTTCAACTATGATGTGAAATACTGGTGATTAAAATATTAACAACAATTTTTTTTATTACATTTATTTAGCACTTACTTCTCCTCACCACCAGTCAGCTTTTCACGCCTCTCTTCTTTATCTTTGCCTACAAAATAAATACACTTCTTAATTATTATACTATGAAATACATGTCCACTCCACTCATGAAATATGGTTTCTGATATTCTAATAATCCTTCAATATACTGGTACAAAGTAACTGCTACCTTGTTGATAAAAACAAGATACACAATAATAGTTTTGTTCATTGACCAAATAAGGATGTAGTAGTCAAACTTATGCTCAATAGTTGAATTCCTAAATGTTTGGGCAAGCTTATTACATTTTCGGCTATATATATATATATATTTTTGACCACTTACTCAACTTCTAGGAAATATTATTTTAGAGAATTTGTTTTGTAGATATATTCTTCATTATATGATTTAGTATAGTGTAAGACAATTTTATGGATATTAAGTTATTGTACTTTTTTCAAAAAGTAAGCTTGGGGAATTAGCAAGCAAATTTGCAATAACTTTAAAACAATGCATTGCATCAACAAATTGTTTTATCTAAACCTTCAAGCAATTACATGTAAACTTAAACTCGATATTTCCTGTAATATTTCCACCACAAGCCCACATATTTCAGTGATGACTGTCCCACATACAGTAGAATATATGCATCACATACCTGCTTTGTCTCTCTTCTTTAGTTTTTTACTAGTTCTAGCACCTTGTCTCAAGTATGATAGAATCTGCGTCAGCTTGTTGATAACGATATCGTTGGTTGTCAATGTAGTATGCGACTACAAGAAAAATTATCATTACAAATTCACGTACACATTAGTAGTTCTGCATAATTTCATATTGTTTTGTGATAAACTTGCATGTTGAAGACAAACAATATGTATATGTATATCTTTGTGAAAGAGATCAGAAAGAAAATGTGCAAATTCTATGAGCAACAAAGAGAGTAAAGTCAGTTTCGATAACTTATTAATGGGGAGCTGAAAAACTTTTTGTAATCTACTACTTCTTATATGTACAAATGTATATAGCAATCAGTGGAAAAAAACACCCCCACAGGGCATTTAAGCACACTTGTCTATAATGAATATATTTAGTTGTTCGAATAGCAATTTTTTTAATCCCAGGAAATACAACTACCCATAGTGTCAAACGCCACCGTGACCCTATCTATAACTCTACTTTATTAAGACAACTGAAAAATGAGATAAAACACTGGTATTTAATTTAATATTTTGATCATATTTACTAGTTCTTATTTTCAGTGAAATAATACGTTGTGCTTTAATTTCACATGTTCTCAGGAATTCAATTTAGCAAATTCTCTTATCAGCCAAAATACCAACATTTAAATGCAGTGAATAATTACCATGTTTGCTCACATTAAAATCACATATTAATGACAGCATTGTATCAATAGTCTATAAGACATATTTCAATTATCTAGCATAAGATAAATGCAATTTGGACTTTTGTGTAGAGCAATAGACCAAATATTGAAATGCATTTACAGTATAAATTTGCAGGAGGAAAAAAACCATGCTATTATCTTACCTCTAGATTTGGTAGATCAGCTTTGCTTCTGATTAATGTTGTTGGGATGTCACTTTCTAGGTACTCATCCTCAAGGTCAACAACATATGCCATACGTCCAGGCCAAAATAATTCATTACGTTCATGCTGCCTCGAACGAAATAATGTGCGAAAGACGCTTTTTCCTGTAAATGTAAAGACTTTGATTACTGAGAAAAATATACAAAACACACAGTCCATCATTTTGCCATATGAGATTGTAACATGTTTTACTATTAAAGCTGGTGGTTTGATAATTACAATAGACATTTTGCAAGGTTGTTATAATGGAGATGCCATTAACACGTACAGCTTTTTAAGAAAGAGACAACTTGTTAAATAGTACGAGATAAAAGTAACATTTACAAATACATTCAAACCTGTGTTAGGGACCACCTGCATATAAGCCAACCTGTGTATAACGACCATTTACATGTATTTTATGTGACCGCCATTTCAAGTTTAAGCCATAGTTATGCAGATATGTTTTAGTTCAGCGACCAAAACAATATGTAGCATTTTAATTTTTTTAAAACAATTTTTAATTTCCTCTAATCAAGCATATTATAAATGCTTTTCAACTCAAATAAATGTGTTTTTGTTTCGACAGTTCATTATTTTCTGGACAAATATGTGAAATAGTATGAGTTGGCAATCCATAAAAATAATCAACCCTCCAGATAAGGACCATCCGTCTACAATTGGTGATTACTATACACAGGTTTAACTGCATGTTAAATGTCTCAGTGATATGTTGGTATGTGAGGTTCCAGCCACGCTGAAAATAACAGTCACATCTTTGGTAAACTCACCAAGTTTAGTCCTAAACTGTATTTTCTCATCCTCCTCTTTCTCCCTAAATAAACAATATTTAAATATTAGAATATCATAAATAACATTATACACCTGAAATTCAACCTGACTGTATATAAATCAGCATTCGTGCCTGCATTAGATAATGTTCTAAAACATCCTTAGCCAGATACAACAGACGGGCGAATGGACAGACAATGATACATAGTGTACTTACACATCTTTCTTCTGCTTAAACACATGCTCCAGTTCATCCTCTTCTTTCTCTTTAGTAGTGATCTCAGCTCTTACCTAAACACATAATAAAATACATAGTACTAATGCCATACAGTGATCTCTACACTATTAATAATATAATCTACACTAGTCTACTAATATGCTGTGAGATCTAATTTGCATTTAATTTGCATATCAATGACATATTTAACCTTTTCACCACCAGAATTTCTTGCCCAAATTGTTCTGCACTTTTTTTTTAATATCCTTAAATATTTCTGGAAATGAACCCTAATTTTCTGAGCCATTAGACAATATTGAGTCATTTTATGTTTTTACTCAAAATTTTTTACTATTGTTGTCCCAATCTTATGAAGGAAAGTACAGACTATAAACAGGAGCATTTTTGAATTTGTGATGAAAAGAGGGAACTGGGGGTGTAAGGGTTAAATAGTCTGTAGAAAATGAAAGGCGATCTAAAAAGTTCGTGTGGCGAACATACACACAGAAAGACTTTGGTTTCAATAGCACAGAAAAAAATATGCATAATATCATCACCAAGATTATTACTGAAATCTATTGTGCTCAATTAAATCGAATTCTTACCTTCTGCAGCAATGCATAATCCAACCCTTTCACCAAATGAGTATGTTCCATATCACCACCAAGGTATTTGGATTCTTCAATCACCTGACGACGTCTGATAGCAGCTGTGTCACCACTAAGAAGATAATAATACATATGATGTTCCAAAAAGCAAGTTAAACAGCCAAGGCCACACCAGCCACATGATTAACTCCTACATTGTACTTCCAACTGTTTCTTACACTGTCTATCGCATGCATGGTACAATACCACTAATTGATTTCCCATGATTGGCAATTCTAGCATTTAGTTGCAAAAGTTTAGTTGAGTCAAACTAGTATTGATGTGTCCTGTAGTCACCCAAATCGTAACATTTTTATGTGGTCAATGACAATGAAATTTTAAACATTGGTTTAATTAATGAATCAATGTGCTACTGTAAGCATAATTATTCACTCTGTTTTCATTTCATCTTCTAATTTAAATCCACATGTGATTCGTAAAATAAGTTCAAATATAGAAATAGAGAAAATGAATGCTTCTACAATATCAAGCAACATGATCAAGTATGTCAGATAATGATGACCACCAAAATTCTATTAGACATAAATCTATCTACAAAACTAATTTTATCTGATCTACATTCCAACCATGTTGAGAAAAAAATACACAATCAATGTTGGAGGTACCCCAGTAACTAGTAACCATCAGCGGCTTTTGTTTGTATGGTATGATAGTCACTCTGAAATTCAGTGAACGGCTTTCATGATCAATGTCACAGAAAAATACAGGAGTCTGTGTCCACAACCATGGGGGGGGGGGGGGGGGCTGGCAGGAATAATTTTTCTCATATCATCACTTCACCCAATAGCAGAATTAAACCATCATAAAGAAAGTGCAAGATGTATAGACTACATGACACGTTAAGAGTGCGCCCTCTAAGTCAATATGTTGCATCACTGGTGTAGAGAATTTTGGTGAGGGAATTAGTTATGCTCATTGCCAGACATGTCATTAACTCAATAGGGAATCCTACATTGAAAAAGTGACCTGAAAAAATATCTAACTACAGTTGGGAATTTGAAATTTGGTAAATGAGAATTCATACATGTATTTTTTAAACAAAATATGTGTGAAAACATAATCAGAGGCCACCAACATTTTTGTTGCACTATCTGGAATCACCAACAGTCATACTAATTTTTTTTTCTTATAGATCTCTCTTCCAAGCAGTCAAACAAGGTAACTTTAAATTATTCTGGGGATTCCATTTTGACTCAAAATCCATACAAAATCAGTTCTGTTAGATGACACACTGTACATGTACATGAGTCTCAATGCATATTATCAAGTGGTGCAGCAAGAGTTCAAAGTACTCACGATTGTACATCTGGGGCAACTGCTTTGTAGTTTGCAGTTGTACTAATCATTTCCGTTTCTTCGTAATCCTTGTTCACACCATCACGCCTTTCTCTGGCCTATCAAGTGTAATAATAAAGCTAGTCACATTATCCTTGACCTCAATTGGAGATTTAATAAAATGACAACCAACAGACTGTGAATATTGAATAAAGGTTTTCATCTCTACCATCGCGTACCTCACAATGGGGTTGCCGTTGAAATTAGCAGTTATCACGTTGCCTACAACAATTAACTTTGTCGTGGGGAACCCAAATATAGAAACTGGTTGTCCATTGGAACAACTATGAAACACAAATACAGAAATTCCACGATCACTTCAACCCAAGATAGTATTAACAAAGTATCTACAATTTCGCTGAAAACAAAATTTTAAATTATTTTGAGCCAGATTTTAACATGACTGCTGACCCAAACACTATACAGGTTTAAGTGAAAGACGACAACCAGCTTTTTTCAGAATATTTGGAGACCATGTTCCTCTATTTAAATTTAAATTCCTGATATATACACATCAAAAACAAAAGTACGAACACCTGTGAGGCCACACAGCAGCCATTGAAGCTCTTATTGAGACTAGGTGTAAATAACAGGCATGGCATGTATTTATCAACTTACCCTATCTCTGTATTTCTTAGCAAGTTCAGCTTGCCTCTCAAGTTCCTCCTTCTTGATTTTCGCATAGTAGCTATAATAATTTGAAAAAAAAATAAGCAAATTTAAATATAAAACTACACACTTATACATAACAACACCAAAAAACAAAATGAGGCGTACTCACCTTTTTTTCTTTCTTCTCAAAGCCCCTTTATCATCACTTTCTTCATACTCAACAGGCATTCTGTGATAGATACAACATACATGTTAATTACATCATGAACATTAATGAGTGATCAAAACTCTTGTCAACTTAGGCAGACTTCTCATGTACCGGTATACAAACATCACAATAACAGGGTTCTCCCCAGGGCTTTTTAGCGCCGAGGTCCGCGGCGCTATACTTGTGAATCTCGGCGCTTTACTTGGGACCTCGGCGCTATGTGTTCCCACCTCGGTGCTTAATTTCATATTTGACATGCCAATATCACATGTGCAAAAGCTTTGTTTGGTCACTCAAAATTAGTGACTACCACAGAAACACTTCCGACCAGGACTATTGTCTGATTGTTATCATAATTACGTACCGACCAACACGCATCCTGCCTGTCGTGGATTATAATTTGTAAACAATAGACCTAATTTGTGAAATTAGCACCTCTGTTTGTAAGTAAATACTTTCTGCGATAGTCAGTCTTTAGATTGAAGGCTAAAATTCTTTCAAAATCAATTCCACCTTGATATAACATGTTCAAAGCGGAGTTCACGATTAGTTCACGCTACTCACGAAAAAAACAACGTGTTTATTGCGTGATTTGGTAAAAAACATTTGAACTGTTATCATTGCGAATCATGTAAAAACTGTTCTTTCAAGACCTATTTTACCTTTTAAAAATTGCAAATCACCTCTTCCGAAAGCCATCATGCAGTTTTCAATTGAAAACGATGCCAACACATCGTGCTACGACATCGCTTTACTTCCGCAATGTAATGTTTTTGATCACTACCGGAAAACTTTGGATTCTACCGACATTACCAAACGGTATTTTTATTGGTTAATGGCATTCTTGACCCATTGGGTCAAAGGACACATGCTAATGTTTCACAAACATCATGGCGGGTCAGTTTTTTTTTAACAAAAATTACAAAAATATTTACCAAAATTAGAGAATTGAAAATATCATCACAAAATGAACAAATCTGAGAGAGGTCCACATGTAGTACCTATATATGTAATATCAAATCAATTGGACTTGCGGTTTTTAACAAGAAGTCGAAAATATCACTTTTTACCAAAAATGACAAAAATATTCACCAAAATTAGAGAATTGAAGATATCAACATGAAATGAACAAACCTAAGAGAGGTCTACCCAAGGTACATATACACCAAGTATCAAAGCATTCAGGCTTGTAGTTTTCAAGAAGAAGTCGAAAAAGTAAAACATTGACACGGACGACGGACAATCACTCATATGATAAGCTCCGCTCGACAAAGTCGACAGCGGAGCTAAAAAGATATTGGCTTTCACTTCAGCCGATCAGTTATTGTCCACCAAGGGTCTTATTAGCCTCATAGTTTCTTATGTCAGCCTCAGTCTAGGCCAATAACTGTGATAATGATGCTATAAAAAAAGTCGACAGCGGAGCTAAAAAAAAAGAAGTAACATTTTTTGAGGAATTATTGCTATAACTGGTGTATAACATGACCAAGTAAGTTATGTCACGTCGTAACTTTGATGATCGTTTTTTAAGCTTTATTTGTTCGCTCATTACTGTAATTGTAAACGTTTTAGAAGTTGATGATATGAATAATAAATTACAACAATACGCCAATTAATTACATGATCGATTTTTTGAAGGAGAATCTTTTTGGAGTGAATAAAATTATGAGATTCGTGAACATAAATCTGGCTTAACGTTTTGAATGCGTTTCACTCAACGTTTTACAATACAATTAAATTGCAACAATAATTTATTTGTGTTTGTTTTTAGGCTGCAGCATTTGTATTTCGAGAATGTTTCAAACTCTTCTAAATTGTGAAACATAATGTGTTGATTCCATTAAAAAAAATAATTGCACTATGACTGAGCTCACTAATATTCATAATTGTAAATAAGTTCTGTTAATCAATGAAGGAAGGATATGTAAATGATATGCAAATTATTATGCAAATTAGCCGCGACGCTATGCATTTTTTCTGGGGAGAACCCTGCAATAATAAAGAAGTCAAATCAAGTGAATTAAACAAATGACTGTTTTTAATTATGCTGCAGGTGTGCCATGGTTAGTACGATATATTGATATACATACGGCTGTTTGTTTCTTGCCATAGCTGTTGGAGGAGCCTCTTTCGGTGCTGACCTCGGAGTCATCAGAAGTTTACGAAAGTCTTCATTTGTCAACGTCTGTGATCTACAATTAACAGAAAATAGATTGAATGTTGTATAACATGGCTATGTCATTCATATGTATGATAGACATATGAATCATACATATCAACACTACAAATACATGTGTGTATAGCTTCAATTCTATATTAATTATCGTTGGTGAGGACACAAATCTTCTGAAAAGAAAATGTGTATGACTGTTATACATTGAACTATAAAGGTACCTATAAAGGTATCTATTCATGTACATTTGTGCACAATATTTTATCTTGAAATTTTGCTATTCAAACACATGAATATACAAATGTATATGTCAGGAAACACTTCAAAAGTCTGCATACATTTTATTTAAAACAATAATTGATGGACTAATCAGCATGTAGACACTATAGGGAATTTCACGAAGATGGTAATATAATACATTTCTCCGTATGCAAAATGTATATACAGAATGTGAAGGGGAAAAAAATGTTGGTAATTTTATTTTTTTACTACCACTAGGCTTTATTATACATGGCTGAACAAACAAAAGATGGTTAATATTAGTGATAACCAGACATCAATACATGAAAATATGAAGCCTGGAGGTCGAAAGACACTCGGTAAACTTAATTGATGTACGATGATTCACTTTAGGCTCAAAATTAAATAATATTCATACATGTATTCGACTGACTGGGCTACCATATTAGAATGTTATTAGGTGTATTGGTACTTGTAGCCATGTACAAAACAAACACGTCGTGTCAACAACAAAAATACAAATGCAATATTTCATTGTAAATATATTTCAGGAAAAAAGTAAAAACAAGTTAGTTCAGCTGAGCTTCAAAATTTTGAAAATAGTACAGTGTACATGTAGCCGTGAACAAGAATGGTTTGTATTCGGATACTTTCAATTTTGATCCCTGTTCACAATTCAAAAAAATAAACTTATTTTCACTATACCTAGATACAATTCAGATAAATAATAAATAGACTTTGATAATCAATACTTACCCGGATGCATCCATCTCCTCATAGGATATCCTCCTATTTGGTGGAGGCAGGGGGTTGGAAAATGGTTCATCTCCTTCTGTGAAAATATCAATAATTACATTGTCAGCGTTACAACTAATACTAAATAAATCGGAAACCAGT